TTTTTTTTTTTTTGATGCTTTCACTCTTATTTAAATGTCTTCCTGTGCCAAAAGAAAGCCCTGTTTTCTCAATAAATCCTCAAATAGGTTTAATGATGTCACAAAATAGTGACAGTACGCCCATAACAATTCACATAATTCAAGAGAGAGTTGGTAATCTTGTATTTGGAATTATGCAGAACTAATGAAGGGATACGAAAGAACATATATTTTGTTTAACTCTGGTGATCAGTGAGAGCAGCCTTCTGTCTTGTAGTACTGTCTATTTGTGGAATAATTTCTTATTTTTATAGTAGTTTCTCATTTTGCCAGAGAAGTTTAAAAAATTAGATTAGCTTGGCAAAGGAACTAGTGATATTTGTGAAGAAAATACAAAAATTTGTTTTTGTTTTTAATTTTGCCTTAGGTGAGACAGGACGTCCAAAGACTGCTTCTTCAACCTCTGTTAAGAGCACTGGCACTACTCCAAGTACACCAAGCACGCCAATGGGCAGTAGTACCCCTGCACCACCATCATCTAACACCTCTCGGCCACCCAGAACTTTGGCATTGAAGACAACAGCTGCTTCGGAGGCAAAGAGGGTTGCACCCATTCTTCGTGCTCCTTCAAAACCCACTGTAGCAGCAGCTCCGAAGCAGCTACGACCAACCAGTGCTCCAGCACCCGACCTAAAAAATGTCAAGTCGAAAATTGGATCCACAGATAATATCAAACACCAACCTGGAGGAGGGAAGGTAAGAGTTTGCCTGTTTTCTTTGGAGATAAACAAACAGTAAGGTTTTGATTCTAGTGTCTGTTAACCCAGTCCAATTAGGGTTACAAGAAAACAAATACTATAAACTTGAAATGAGATGTTGTCTGGTACATTTAAGCTACCTGATAGAACAAAAATTCATCCTTATAACACTCTAATTTCTCATGAATGAAAATGAAAACTTGCATTTCAATAATGTCTTTCACCACCTCAGGATGTCACAAACAGTTAAGTGCAAACACTAGGAAAATTTGATGGCTGCTGCATTTTCTAAATATATAAATAATATCTACACTTTTCACACTTAATTGTAAATATTTGTTACTGTTCATAATTTCCACATAATAAGTTTCTTGTCCTCTTCCCATTATCTTTTTATTTCAATGTGGTGACAAGAATGGTATACAGTACAGGTGTCTCTTAAAATGTGCCTGTAAGCAGCCTGTAAATGTTTAATTTGGCTTCTGGAGACTTGTATACTTCTGGAAAAGGGAAGACAATGATCTTTGTCAACATCTGAAAGAGTAGAACGCCGACATTGGTCTGACCTGAAGGCACAACCCTGTTGTTAATACCTTAGACTGAAAACTGATGAAGGTTATTACTTAAGGTATTGTTCCTCTCCATCCAGACACTGAATTAATGTGCAGCTTTCTTCAGCATGTTCTGTGTCTAATTATAATCTAACTGGACTGAGCAGAGTAATGCAACTTGTCATGGCGCTATCCTGACAAACATTTTGGCCAAGTTTATGAGGCATATTCATTTATTTTAGAGTTTTAAATTTCTTTGAGGCCCCCAAACTTAAGGGTTAACAAAATTAAAGCCCATAGCTGTATAAAGAATAATGGTAGCATGGATACAAAAAACAGCAAAAAAGAGAGTAATATTAAAGTTGCTATTCTGACTAAAGGGTAGTTACATTCAGTGTTCCCAGGGTTAGTTATGAGGTCTATTTCTCTTTTTGATAGATCGTACGTCTTCAGGGCATCTTTTCAAAGTTTGCACATGATAGGCATGTGCTAAAGTGAATATTGATTCATTAGGGGATGAGACTGGGGAGTTAATAGTGCAGAAGACAGAAATGGCAAAGACACTAAATCAGTGTTTTGCCTTCATTTTCATGATGGAAGATGCAAGTACCTTCCCAATGGTAATAGGTAATGCAGAGATTATAAAAAAGAACGAACTTAGAACAATCATCATTATGTTGTGGAAAAAGTATTGAGAGAGCTAAAAGGATTGAAAGAAAACATGCTCCTAGGCCCTGATGGCCTACATCCGTGGGTCTTGAAGGAGGTGGCACCAGAGATAGTGGTTACAGTATTCCAAAATTTCCTGAATACAGAAAAGGTTCCAATGGATTGGAAAAATGCTAATATAACACCTTTATTCAAAAAGGAGGCAGGCAGAAAGTAGAAAACTATAGACCAATTATTTTAATGGCTATCGTTGGAAAATCATTAGAGTCTATTATTGAGTCATAGTCATGGAAGACTACAGCACAGAAAAAGGCCCTTTGGCTCGTTGAATCTGCACCAATCAAAAACAAGTCCCTGACTATTTTAAAGATAGTCGGAACTGCAAATGCAATTTTCTGAAAAAGGGTCTAGGCCCGAAATGTCAGCTTTCCTGCTCCTCTGATGCTGCTTGGCCTGCTGTGTTCATCCAGCTCTACACCTTGTTATCCCTGACTATTTTAATACCATTTTCCAGCACTTGGCCCATAGCCAAGTATGCCTTGGCATCACAAATGTATGTCTAAATCCTTCTTAAATGTTGTGAAGGCTTCTGCATCTACCAGCCTTACAAACAGTAAGTTCCAGATTCCCACCACCCTCTGGGTGAAAAACATTTTTCCTCTCAACCCTTCTGCCTCTAACTTTAAAACTATGCTCCTTGGCCATCGATTCCTCCATCAAGGGGAAAGCTTCTTCCCATCTACCCTGTCTATTCTCCTCATAATCTCATGTATCTCAATCATGTCTGCCTTCAGCCTCCTCTGCTTCTCGGAGAGCAACCCCAATCCAATTATCCAAAAATTAAGAAAGAAGTAACAGGATGTTTGGAATGTTGAATCACAGTTGGTGTGTTTTTATGAAGAGGTAGGTTGTGTTTGACTAATTTACTAGCGTTCTTCAAAGATATAACCAGCAAACTGAATAACGGGAATCCTGTAGATATAGCGGATCTGGACTTCCTAAAAGCATTTGATAAGGAGCCGCATAAAAGGTTACTACCCCAGAAAAGATCACATGGAGTTAGGGGTAATTTATTGGAAAGAGGAATAGCTCACCAACAGAGAGCAGAGAGTCAGGCTAAATGGGTCTTTCTGTGGCCGGCAAGATATAATTAGTGGAGTACCACAGGATTCAGTCCTTAGACCTCAACTATTTACAATCTATAGATGACATTAAAGAATAGGAAAGACAGTTACAATAAAGAAAGAACAAATTTGCAAATGGATGTGGATAGTTTAGATGAATGGGCCAAAATTTGGCAGATGCAGTTTGAGGGTAAGAAGGCTGATATTACTGGTCGGAAGGATATAACGTATTTTCTAAATGGGGAGAAACTTCAGAGTGCTTTGGCGCGCAGGAATCTGGGTGTCCTCGTGCATGAGTTGCAGGATAAGGGATGGCAGCTTTTAAATGGAGATAAGGAGAATTTACTTCTCAAGGGTAATGAGTCTGTGGAATTTATTAACTCATGGGTGTTAGGACATGGAGTAAATTTTGAGAAGGAGATAGAATTTTAAACAGTAATAGGTTGAACAGTTATAAGGGAAGTGGGTAGAAAAACGCAGTTGAGGCTAGGATTAAATCAACTATGATCATATTAAATGGCGGGGCAGGCTCAAAGAATGGAATTGTCTACTCCTGTTCCTTGTTCTTGTGATCTAATGTAATCCTAGAAATACAGTTAGGAATGAGGAGTGGAGTAAAACTCTTCAGGAAAACATAGATGGATGAAACATAAGATCCAGGCGGGTCTTGATAGAATGGATGCTGAGAGGATGTTTCCCCCTGTGGGGAGCCTAGAACTAATTTACAAACAAGGTGTCTCTAATACTGATTGAAGATGATGTAGCAACAGAGAGATGTAAAAGTGTACATAAATATTTGAAGGCCTTAAGCTAAGCTGAGAAGTGACTTTTTTAAAATATGGTATGGTTGCCTTATTGATCCAGGAATGGAATACTAAAGCAAGGTTACACAAAATTCTTATGAAACATTGGTTAGCTCTGAGAGTATTGTATTCCATTCTGGACATGACACTTCAGGAACTTGCCAGGGCATTAAGGAAGGTGTGGTATTATTATTAGAATGAGAGATTTCAGTAATGTGGAAAGACTGGAGAAGGTGGTGTTCTAGGAGCACAGTTTAGAAGAAGTTTGATAGAGGTTTTCAAAAGCATGAACAATTTTAGTAACGTAACCGAGAAGTGCCCCAACAGGTAGTAAGTAGCAGACACCAATACAAGGGCATTACGATAAAAGGGAATTGCAGGAGAAACAGACACAATGGGAGGATACGTTTATTATGTAGTAAGTTGCTGTGAGCTGTAATGAATGTCAGAAGATGTGTTAGAAACAGGTTTATTTGTGCATTCAAGAGAGGATTAGATAGATGTTTAAATAGAAAATGTTTACAGTGGATTAATTAGATTGCTGCACCAAAGAGGTGACACAAGACAAGCCCTTCCGTGGTGTATTAGTCTATGATTCTCTAACACTTGAATATTCAGCTGCTGTTTTTGGGACACCTCTGCAGCTGTTCCTCAGAGTAGTGTACTAGGCTCAAGCATCTTCACCTGTTTCATCATTTGCCTTTCCTCCATCTTAAGATTAGAAGTGGGGATGTTTGTTGGTTATTGCACCATTTTCACCATTTATGATACGTTAGATACTGAAGCTATCCACATCCAAATGTAGCAAGATCTGGACAGTATCCAGACTTTGAACTAACAAGTGGCAAGTAAGGCTAATGCCACAAAAGTGCAACATACAGGCCATCTCTGACTACTGTCCGTTGATATTCAGTGGCACTACCATCACTGACACCCTGCCATTGCTATCCTAGGAGTTATCATTGACCTAAAACTAAACCAGACCAGCCGTACTTTGGCTACAAGAACAGGTCATAGGTTTGACACCCTACAATGAGTAATTCCTCTCCTGACACTCTAAATCCTGACACAAAGTTCAAGACACAAGTCAGGAATGTGATGGAATACTCTCCACTTGTCTGAATAGACATAGCTCTAACAATGCTCAAGAATCTTGACACCATCCAAGACACAGTAGTCCACTTAATTGGCATTGCATCCACAAACAGCAGATAAGAGGACAACTGCGAGAAAGGGGCAGTCACCGCAGGATTGAGGATGTCGTACTTAAATGTCTGCGGTGTAGGAAATATGGTAAATGAGTTTATAATGCAGATTGAAATTGGCGGGTACGATATTGTGGGAATCGTAGAAATGTGGCTGAAAGGGGATCAGGTCTGGGAACTAAATATCCAAGGAAATGTATCATATCGAAAGGACAGGCAGATGGGCAGAGGGTTGAGGTTGGCCTATTAGTAAGAAATTAAATTAAATTGATATCAAGAAGCAATATAGGGTCAGAATGCAGAGAATCTTTATGGGTAGAGTTGAGGATTCATAAAGGAAAAAAGATCCTGATGGGAATTATGTACAGGCCCTCTACCAGTAGTCGGGATATGGGCAGAAAATACATTAGGAGATAGAAAAGGCACAATTACTGTTATCATGATGGACTTCAGTATTCAGGTGGACTTGGAAAATCAGGTTGGTAGCTGATCTCAAGAAAAGGAATTTGTGGAATGTCTATACGATGTTATACTGAGGTTGTGAGAGGTTCTGGTCAGACAGCATTTGGAATATTGTGAGCTGTTATGGGCCCTGTATCTAAGGCAGGATGTTCTTGGAGTGGGTGCAGAGGAGGTTTACAAGAATGATCCTCGGAATGAAGGGCTTGTCACATGAGAAGCAGTTGAGGACTCTGGATCTGTACTAAGTGGAGTTTAGAGGGATGAGGGGGATCTTACTTAGAGAATGCTGAGAGGCCTGGATAGAGTGGACGTGGAAAAGATGTTTCCACTAGTAGGAGATTAGGACCCGAGGGCAATGCTTCAGAGTGAAGGGACGTTCCTTTAAAACTGAGATGAATAGGAATGTCTTCAGCGAGAGGTTAGTTAATCTCATTGACACAGAGGGTTATGGAGGCCATGTCAGGAGAGGCAGGAGAAAGGGATTGAGAAATGTATCAGTCATAATTGTCAGGCAGAGCAGACTCAATGGGCCAAATGGTTTAATTCTGGTTCTGTATCTTATGGTCTTTTCCACACACCCTTTCACTCCCTGCTGATTTAAAATTGGACAGTCTTAGCCTTGAGTATGCTTAATGACTCCACCTCAATGGCCCTCTATGATAAATACAAATAAATGCAAAGATTCGCAGTCTTCTCAGAAGAAATCTGTCCTCATGTGTATCTTCATGTGCGATCCCTCGCTCTGAGATTACGCTGTGGTCCTAGACACTCCCACAAGGGCAAACAACCTCCCCGCATCTCCCCTGTCGAGTCCCATGAGAATCTTGCATGTTTCAGAAAGGTTGTCTGTCATTTGTTTATATTCCAATGAGTGCATGCCCAAGCTAGTACTCCTCTCCTCATAAAACAGTCTCTTACCTAGTTTCAGCGTAGTGAGCCTTCTCATGATGGCCTCTGGTGCCAATATATCTTCCCTTAGATGAGAGGCCCAAAATTGTTCCGATTTACTGCCATGATCTGACTAGTGTCTTGTATAGTTTCAGCAAATCCTCTTTTCTTTTATACTCAAGTCCCTTTGAACTATCTAGGGATAGGCAATAAATATTGGTCCAGCCAGTAACACCCACATCCTCTGAATAAATTTACAAAAAATTTTAGAGCTGACCGTCAGCTGCTTTTGTGCTAATTTCTCCCCTTCTTGAGAAATTCATATATTCTGATATATAGGACTTTTGTTGTTAAGTGCTATATAATACATTACCTAAGAAGAAGTTGTCATATGTGGACATCTGAGCAGGATATTTGATTTTAGATATTGTAGATGAGCTCAATCCACTTTTTGTTTGATATCTGTGCTCTGCATTTTCCAGCTGGATGCAATGGATAGAAAACGGCATTGGGAATTTTCCTAGTACCCTGAAACCAATTACATCAACTTTTGCTTTCCTAGTGAATATTAGCTTGGTTACCTGTTTTCTGTTTATAATTGGTTATTGCAAAGCTAAGCAGTACTCTTATCTTCTAAGTGATGAATAAGTAAAATTACATGCAATGTAAATGTGTAATCTGTTGATAACTCTGCCCAATATTATGGTCTGGTGATTGCTTGAATGCATGTGCTTCTTGAATTCTCTTTGCATTGACTAAATAACAGTTGGATTTTAGGATGGCTAAAGAAAATGTTTTCTTCCAATTCAAATTGTTTGACATCTGAAGATGTTGTTGAAGAAAGTTGAGCAGTGGAATGAGGGTGTGGTATACATTTAATTTAGAGTGCTCCATTTTTAAGTTCAAGCAAGAGGAAAATTTATTTTTTTTAGAAAGGATAATCTTTACCTTAAATTGAGATGTACCATTTTGGGTTAGTTCCTTATTTATAATCCTGGTTCTGTTTTGCTTCTATTGAGAAAATGTGTTTTGGAACATCAGTGAATAAACAACTTTTGGAATCAAGTCAAACCGTAAGGAAATGAAATGTTGTACAACATTCTGTAAAACATTGTCCTATTGTGCCATGATGTGAATTTTTTTTTTAACGTTAATTGTGCCCTTTGGGATAATTATTCAATTCCATTTCATTCTAGGGCATTTTTCTTCATTACATCTGTCTGTGTGCTTGTTTTTTTTCCTCCATCCCTTTTATTGTCCATTTAGGCTAAACCAATAGAGAAAAGACCCGAACCGGTAAGATTGAGCCGAAAAGCTGAATCCAGCACTGTGACTCGAGTTACTAAAACCACAAGCATGAAAGATAGCCAAAAACAAACCAATGGCAAAGTGAGTGAATGAAAACATCAGTTTTGACTTTGCATTCATTTCTAAGTTCAATATATGTCTCTGCATTTCAGTATGATTTTCCATCATGATCCCTGTGAACATAAATGAAGATTGTTCATAACATGGAATGGTGCAGTGGAATACTTCACTCTTAGGGAATTTGGTTCAAGCAAAGTGAACACTGATATAATAATCTGAACAACAACAAGAATTTGCATTTATATAGCACTGTTAATATAGAAAATATTCTGGCTCTAACTTCCTTCTCACTTCCTCCTTCCATTCATTCTCGCTTCATCTGCACATTTTTGCTCCAACTTTCTACCCCTCCCCTTTTTCTTTTCTTGCCTCTTTCATACTTTCTCAATCATTCTGCCAAGTTCCACCTTCACTGCCCCTTAGTTCCCTTCTCCTGTTCCTCTGTTATTCTCTGCGTCTTCTGCTTCTCATTTCAACCCCCTCCCATTCTGCTATATTATTCTCTCCCCTCACTTTCTGTCTTTTACTGCTTTCCTCTTCTTCCCACCTTTTGTGTTCTCTGTCCCCCTTTATTTCTGGCGCAGACATGATGGACCGAATAGCATCCATCTGCAATGTAACAATTCTGTGATTCTTCTTAACCCTGACCCCTGACCCCTGACCCCTGCTTCCTGCCTCCGTCTTTGTCTCCTTTACCTCCCTCTTGATTGTGAAGTTGGAGTTGTAAGGAAAAAAATACATCTCTTACTAAGAGAGGATATGCTGGTAGAATCAAAAACATAATCCTGTTGAAGATAAGAAACAGTAAAGGAGCTGTTATGCTACTTGGCATATTTTGGTGTATTTTCAATACCTAAATAGTGAGAAGGACAAAGAAGCAAATAAATTACTGAGGGTGTCAAACTCTCTGGAAGGCAAGTTGTGCTTTTCTTGGAGTAATCACAAAAGTTGAAGATTTTATATAAAGTATGCATAATTTTGACAGAAAGCAGAGGCCATGTTTCTGTATGGAACAAGAATTTCTCTTTATTACAAATAAGTAGACACTAGTCATAGGTAAGCTATTCTGAACCTAAAGCATTTAACTCTACCAATTAAAACTCCAGTAAACTACATATAAACTACACGTATATGCAGGCAGACACAGACACAGACACATGCAGACAGACAAAAAAACACACAACATGGGTGTTATAGATGGAGGAAAAGACAAAGAAGGTGGTTCAGTGATCCCTAATCATTGTTTCTTGGTATAATTCTTGTACTGCTCAGGACACTGATTTTTTTTTTTCCTTCTCCAGATGCTTGCATTCGTTTACAGGAGGCACAGGGTAACTCGCTCACACTAAGGGTCTGACTTACTAGTTAAAAGTCAGACCTTGCAGCAATTGCTGAAGAAATATATACAACTAGTTTTCATCATGTTAGTGTGTTTTTCCCTGTGGAGAATAGAGACAGCTCCTGAGTTTGCAGAGATCTGATGGCTTTCTTCTGTCTTGTTCACGCCCCAAGCTGTTCAGCTATCTGGAAGCTAATCACATAGTTAGTGGACAGAAAGTCTTTATCATTGATAACTGGTCACTAGTTCACAGACCAATCAGCTACTTGTTGCCAGCTGAATCTCCATTTGTACATTTCCCTCCCCTCCAGTTCATTTGTAAATCTTCTAGCACTGTGTGTATCAACAGTTGTGTAAACAAGCAGCTTGCTTGCTTTCAAAAATTGCACCAACCCGTCAACAGCCTTTTGTGTTTTTAAAACCGTTCTTTTTCCATTTCAGTCCACAATCAAAAATACAGGGAAAAAAAAGCTAGTTTTATGTCTTCACCCTTCAAAAGGTGAAACGGTTTTTAAAAATACATTTATGTTTTTGATATGCATTGATGATTTGGTTTTGGTATGGGGCACTGTTTCAACATGTGCAGTTGATATGAAACTTGAAATTGTGGTCAAGTGAGGAAAATAATAATTTCAAGAATACAGGGTTGGTGGTTTTGGTCAGGTATTTGTCAGATAAAGTTCAAAGCAGAAAAGTATAATATGTTTTGGGATGAAGAATCAAAAATACAGGCTGAGCAGTATAATTTTGAAGTGGATGATGAAAGGTTCTTGAAATATTTGTGCACAAATCTTTTAAAGGTTAACAAAGCAGCTAAAAATGTCCAACAGGTGTTGGACTTCTAAACAGAGTCATTGCGTGCAAGTGCAGGGAAGTTGTGATAAATTTATATGAAAGTAATAAATCAGCCTCAGTTAGAGTATCAATGTATATCCAAGTCTGAGCATCATACTTAGGAAAAACATGAAGGAATTGGAGAGGATATAGAAGAGGATATACTGGTATGTTTCCATGTATGAGAATTAATTATCCAGGATGTACAAGAGAAGCTCTCCCTAGAGCAGAGGAGGATAAGTGACTATTTGATAGGGGCATTTAAAATTATGGAGCTTAGATACAGCAAATAAAGAAAAACTATTTCTGTAGCCAAAAAGCAGTTCTAAGGTGATTTGAGGAAAGACATTTTTATGCAATGAGTGGTTAGGACTTGAAATGTATATTCAGATAAGATAGTGGACATAGATGCTGTAATAGCATTCAAAGGAGAATTGAGTAAGTACTTGGAGCAATAAAATATAGTAGAGGAATATGGACAAAGAGTAAAGGAGTGGTAAAGTTGAATTGTTGTTTTGAAAGAACCTTAGCAGAGTTGATGTGCTTATCCTGTCCATTGATCTGTGGGATGAGAACTAGCCTGTTCAGTCCCATGAAGACCCAAGACACAAATCCTCAACCCCGAGAACTCTGGGAAGATGTCAACCTTAAAGAAACAGATGATGTTGGCAACAGTTCTACAATTCCTTCCTTTCCCAAATCTGTGACAGTTGCACCAAGTAAACTATGACACCGAGCAGAGAGTGTGCACGCCTGTAATTGCGGAGCTAGCAAGGATGCATTCATTCTTTATCCAATAGATGCCATAAATTGGGGTGCTGAGATCACAGTCAGTGGAGGCTGAAATCTGCTGAGCGATCTTGCTTTGTTGCCAGTAGATGCAGTTCAAACCTTGCTATAAGGCAAAAGGAAATAAAATCCTTAGGTTTAAAATAAAATGCTATTTGGACTTTAATTATGCTGTTTGTTGCTAATCCTTTTTAAAGTAGTGCAGTTAATGCTTAATATTAGGGTTACAAGGAGTAGGACGTGTTTGTGTTGCAGTGAATCTCAGATTAAATTTTGAAGATGACAGACCTGTCTCTCCTGTTTACTCTCATTCACCTGATTTAACATGACAACGTCTATGGGGGCAGGAGGAGAAAGAGAAGTTGTCAGATGGTGCCTTAGCAGCAATGTAATAATAATTCAGACAGAAGCTAAGTTAGTTATGGAATCTGCTACTGTTGTAATGGAAATAAGGCATAGTTCCACATATAAAATTATATGCCACACTGTAGACTCCAATTTAAATGACAGTGCAGTTGAATGAGACTATAATTAATATTTGTCGCAGATGAACTATTTTTAAGATGGAGGTGGGGGAGAAAAGAGCAGAAGGATATGGAAACTTTGTAGGAAAACATCAGTATTTGTGGGAACTGAAGTCAGAATGGGTACTCTGAGTGAGTTGTGGGTGTAGAATGTCTTGATCAGAAAGTTGAGGATGTTAGGCCTTGAGAAATGTGAGTTAAGGCATCTCTTCAAGCGTGATCATGGCAACCTGTTGGGAATTGTGTATCGATATTAATGTTCGGATAGCTTGTTGAACTTATCTGGCCTCCTAGCTAGTGAATCTTTTATTCTTTTGTGGGATATGGGTGTTGCTGGCTAGGCTCCCATTTATTGTTAATTCCTAATGGCTCCCAAGAAAATGGAAGTGAGCTGCTCTCTTAGACCACCGCAATCCATGGGGCGTAAGGAAACCCACATTCTTTTGGAAGGGGATTCCAGGAATTTTGCATCAGTGATGGTGAAGGAATGACAGTGTAATCTAAAGTCAGAATAATGTGTGGATTGGTGTAGAACCAGCAGGTCGTGGGGTACCCATGCATTTGCTTCCCTTGTCCTTGGAAGATCCTGTTAAGTGAATTTAAATGAGTTACTGTAGTGCATCCTGTAGATGGTACACACTGCTACCACTGTGTTGGTGGTGCAGGGAGGGAATGTGGTGATGGATGCCACTCAAGCAGGTTGCTTTGTCCTAGATAATATTGAGCTGCTTGAACTGTGGTGGATCTGCACCTATCTAGGCAAATAGAGGGTTTTCCATTGCGGTTCTGATTTGTGCTTTGTTGATGGTATACAAATGGGGATGGAGATGGTTGACCACCAACAGCTGCAACCAACTGCCTTCATGTTACTTATAACTCCAGCTAGTGGAGAGTTGTCCCCCAGTTCTTGTGACTCCAGTTTTGTTAGTGCTCCTTGTTACCATTTTTGGTCAACTGCTGCCTCGATGTCAAGGACAGTCCCTTTCACTCCACCTTTGGCATTCTCATATTTGATCCATGTTTGAAAAAAGGCTGCAGTGAGGTCAGGAGCTGAGTGGCCCTGCTAGAACTTAAACTGAGAATCAGTGAGGAGGTTATTGCTAAGCAAGTGCTGTTTGATAGCAGTGTTGATGACACCTAGCTGCTGTGTCTGGTGCACTTCATGAACTGGAGATGGCCTCCACTGAAGCAGACATAGATTTAACTACTTAAGGATTAGGCAGTTCCTATGTGGAGTGTCCTCATACCCTGAGGTGGTTAACAATGTTATTGACTAACTGGCATCACCCGATAAGTGCTTGGACACACTGAACCACTTCACCATGCTTACAGGGCAGAACTATAACCTCCAAGAACCCATTGCTGGAAAGTCATGGGCATTGGATTTGCAGTAAGTAGCGCATTTAACCAAACTGTGTGTCAAAAGTCAACAGCAATTCTGTAAAGTAAATGTACCTTCAGTTCACTATTTCACTCTCTTTTTCCATAACCTCTAAATCCGAGTAGAACAACAAACAACAATGGATTTGTTTTCTTAAGACCGTGCCGGGATTATGCTACTTGCAGCATTTTCTGCTATTGTGAAATAAACTGCACTTAATGCTCTGAAATGATGGATCACAAGAACGTGATTTTTGACGATCAGGAAAACATTGACCGTGTTCTGTTTTCAAAGAGCACTCTCATCTACTTTTTGGCATAACTCCTCAATTGCTTTGTCTTGAAAATTATTCCACTTGCTTGTGAGTCTATTGTTCAGATCATGTCCCTTCTCAATTCAGTGTCAGCTGCAGCTCAGTGGGAGGCACTCTTGCCTGTGAGTCAGAGTTCTATGTTCAAATTCCAGACTTGAGTACAAAATTCTAGGCAAGCAATCTAGTGTTATAGGTGCTGCACTATTGGGTGCTGTCTTTGGGATAAGATGATGAATTGGGTCCCTGACTACTTTCTCAACTGGAAGTAAAAGATTTCATGGCACTATTTTGAAGAAAAGCAGGCAAGTTATTCTTGGTGACCTGCCCGATATTTATCCCTCAATCAACATTACCAAGAACCAAATTATCAGGTGATTTCCACATTGCTGTTTGTGGGTGTTTGATGTTTTGGAAATTGACAGTTGCATTTTCAACATTACAACAGTGACTATGCTTTGCTGTGTTTTGTGGTATCTTGAGTTTGTAGAATATGCTATAGTAACCACAAGCATTCTAAATTTTTAAACTGATACCTGGTAATTTTGAAAGTTTCTTGTTCAGATGATTCCATTGGGTGAATTCTGTAAACAAGTCTCCTGCCTCATTTAGAACTTTGGAATTGATCCATCAGTAGTTTTCCTAAAATAATTCTATTTCAGCCCTCAATTCTTCCAGTTTCTTTATTGAATAGAAAACCAGATTTGAAACATAGGCTGGTTTTGGGTTCTAGCTAGAAGCAATTGCACCCAACAGAGCAGACTGAGACAAACGTGGACCTAACCTATAGCTGTAACACAAACATGATTATAATGAACAAAAAAAAGGGCATATACTGGAAATATACTGACCCGAAAGACACAGCCAAAGACCTCTTACCCCTCTTGGATGCCAAGTGATGAGTAGTATCACTTGAAGATTGAATTTGTTCCTCTTGGATCCTGCCTGGCTTGCTGTCCATCGTCAAAGTCATTTGCATTTGTATAATGGCTTATTACATCAATCAGCAATGTGGTGTCGCACTTAAAAGTAAATTCCAATGGAAATAGGAATTACTAGGTGAGCAAAAATCAAGGAATCACTGAAACAACTGCATAGCAATATCACTGAGTTTCATCCCACCATCAGACTTACCATGGACTACCCTTTAGAATCAGTCTCATTCTTGGATATATGCATCTCCATCAGGGACAGACACCTCAGTACCTCACTCTACCGCAAGCCCAGGGATAACCTCACGATGCTGCACTTCTCTCACTTCCACCCTAAACATATTAAAACAGCCATCCCCTACGGGACAAGCCTTACGCATACACAGGATTTGTTCGGATGAGGAGGAACGAGATGGATACCTGAAGGTGTTAAAGGGCACCCTCTTAGGAACAAGATGCGATGCTCAACTCGTCAACTGCCAGTTCCAACGTGCGACAGTGAAAAACCATAATGACCTTCTCAGAAGACAGACACAAGATACGTCTGATAGGGTACCCTTCGTCGTCCAATACTTCCGGGGAGCAGAGAAACTATGCCATGTTCTTCGCAGCCATCAACACACTTATCAATGACGATGAGCACCTTGCCAAGATCTTCCCAACGCCTCCACCTGTTGCCTTCAAACAACCGCCAAACCTTAAACAGACCATTGCTCGCAGCAAACTATCCAGCCTTCAGGACAACATTGACCACAACACCACACAACCCTGTCATGGAAATTTCTGCAAGATCTTCAACATGGACACCACAATCACATGTGGGAACACCACCCACCACGTGCATGGCAAATACTCATATGACTCTGCCAACATTGTCTATCTCATATGCTGCAGGTAAGGATGCCCGAGGCGTAGTATATTGGCAAAACCATGCAGACGTATGACAACAGATGAATTGTATACTGTGCAACAGTCGCCGGACAGGGATGTTCCCTCCCAGTGGGGCAACACTTCAGCAGTCAAGGACATGCAGCCTCAGATCTTCAGGTAAATGTCCTCCAAGGCGGACTTTGGGAAGCACAACAACGCAAAGTCACTGAGCAGCGGCTGATAGCCAAGTTTAGTACCCATGAGGATGGCCTCAACTGGGATCTTGGGTTCATGTTGCACTACAGGTGACCCCAGCACACTATACAATCTTACACCTACATTGTCGCTCACACTGTTGCACAGTTCCTCTTTCATATACACAGACACTGTGTCACATAGATTCTCTCTCTTTCTCTCACACGCACAATCGCACAGATTCTCTCTCCTACTTGCATGCGTTACCTTGCTCTCCGTCACAAGCACATGCACGCGCGCACTGTTTCTCTCTCTGGTTTGTTTAGTACATCCTCATCAGTGGTGTGATCCTTTGATCTTTTACTTATAAATTCTGCATCTGGTGCTACCTCTTTCACTAAAACCTGAAGTAGGAGTTAGGCTCCGAAAGCTCATGTTTTCAAATGAACCTGTTGGTCTGTAACCTGGTGTGTGATTTCTGATCTTGTCCACCCCAGTCCAACACCGGCATGACCACATCTAGTTTAGTAGGTCGATGGCAGAATGTAGTTGTATGATACAATAATGATAGAGTTGTTGCCCTTTGTATCAATTCATCTATTGCAGACTCCTAAGTTAAGAGAAAAATATCCTAGTGTAGGAAGGTTTCATAATCATGTCAAAGTCATCTATTCTTCCTATATATCCTACATTTGCCATTATTGTTTTTCTAAATCACTCATACTATATGTGAGAAATTTAGAGACTTGCTGTCTAGGCAAATTTCAAGCAGAATGTCCTAATTTAATGATATTGGTTGAAGGTTTTCGTCATGGCATCTTTAAAATCCTTGGATTCTTATGGATAATATATAAACAACACACACACACACACACACACACACACACACACACACACACACACA